AAATTCCGTGTTGATCAAAAATTTTTTATTAGTGAGTGACACTTGACCCCCTGTAGATCCGCAATGTCCTGCGACTGCTACCCAATTGCAATGTTTTTTTAATTCCTATTAAAAAAACTTGTTATTTTTAAAATACAACCATTTTATATTGTCATTAAAAGTAGATAAAATTTAAAATCTAATGTCAAATTTGTCAAAACCCTTGCAGAGCTGGTCTATGAATTGTATTTTAGAAGTATATAATTCTTGTTTTGCTATAAATTCAGATAACCTATGAACATCTCCTTTCAAATAGTTGATTGTTTTGCTCTATGAAATAAATAGTAAAATTGTAATGATAAGTTGGTGGGGTTTATCATGTCACATGATACAATAGGATTAGTTACCTGAATTGAAATTCTTTTACACCATAATTCTAAATCTTTATCATTTTTGTTGTCATTTTTTTTTCCAAGCTTATATATATAAGATTTTTAAGTGATGGTGATAAAGAATTTGCAACATCAATATAATTTTGCTGAATAGCAGTGATAAGTCCATTAAAAAAGAACTGAGAATGTGTGAGAAATTGTGGATTTTGCAGAGTTGGTAAATTTTCTTTTATTATTCCACATGATTGCCATAATGATTCACCAATTATATTTCCAATATTATTGCATTCATCATTTTTTAACATAGTTGCCTTTTTTGCATTGCTTAAATCTATTTTAGATAATTTGAATGCTATTTGTATCATCAGTTGAGTTGGTATAATATTATTTGATAAATCTGGCTGGTTGGAAATATTTTCTGGGAAGTATTGTTTGATTCTGACAAAATCCAATTTCCAAATGATTCTAATATTTTTGTTGAATCATTATGTTTTTCATCACAACTGAACTTCTTAGAGCCACACCCCATTCTTTTATGTAAATGGCCTCCATTGGCTTCAAAACAATCAGAACAAATATACAAAGAACAGGAGCTATTTGGAAATTGGGACATAATCTTTCAAGGCTTTGCAAGATTGCAATCCCAGGCAAGGAACTCTAATGCTTCGCCCACATACAGTCCATGAATGTTCAGAACATCCATTACATATGATGAAGTTTTTGAATTTTTTACAAAGCAAGCAATGTGTATGATGCAATTTACTTTGATCTGTTTGTAAATATTCATGTTTCTCATTATGTAACATGTTCTGATCATAGAGAAAGTGCTGATAACAGACACCAAGTTCATGTAGATTTTTTTTACATTGCTCTACAGCATCATGGACAACTTCCCAAATACCTTTAAGTTGGGCAAGAGGTCTGTTGAAATCTCCTCCATGATTAGCTTTTCATTATCCACAGTTACACAGCATATTGGAAGTTTGATGTTACACTAAATGTTGTACAGAACTCATTGCTTCTGAAACTTTGCCCAGTGTATAGTTGTCACCTCTCTAAATTGGAGATCAAGTTCAGATCAATTTCAAATCCAGTTTATCACTTACTTTTTATTGCCAGAATGTTTGCCATGTATTGTAAAGCTACATTGCACAATATAAAATTAGTGTAATATTTCAAATTTCCACTATGCTCAGTTACACATGGTGAGTATTCAATAAGATTTTTATCCTCTTCTAATCTAAACCAAGATCTGGATCATCAGAATTTCTTCTTCTTCATCAAGGCCATAATCTTCCTCCCTTTCAATATCATCATCACAAAATGTGTTAAAATCAAGCTCAAGAATAGGAAAGTCATCTGACTCACTATTAGACTCAACATCAGATTCACTAGAGTATAGTGACTCTGAGCTGTTTTCAGTAAATCTATATTTTCAATTATACTTGCTGCCCATACTATGGGATATGGAGCAATCCCCAATCCCATTGGGTATGGGTGGGTGGGGCTTTGAGGTTAGTATTCGTGTGACATTTCCCTGAGGCTGCTTTTCTATAGTGCAAGTCACCTAGTCCCGCAACTTACTGCGCCCAGTGGCCAATTTTGGGGAAAGAATCAAATCTCAGAATTGTAAGTTATGCTCAAAAAATGCAATAAAAATTTTGTATCACGTGACCTTTAATGGTGATACAAATTAAAAAAAATTTTCCGTTTAAATATTAATATATATAATTAATATTTAAATTTAAGAACACATTGCACCATGTAAGAAAATTTATCCTATATGAAGAGGATGAAAATACTATAGATAATGAAGATAATAGGGGTGTTCAAAGTTGTTCCGTTCCTGTTCCTTGTTGTACAATACCTTATTAGGTAATCAACTTTGAGCAGAAATTTCCTAGTTGTTTCCATAACTTCTATATTTGGGACTGAACTACACGCGTTTTTTTAAAAAATATGTCAACTTGTGAAAGAATTGAAGAGGCATTGTTTCTAAATCTATTCCAAGAAATAACTGAATTGGATGAATTTGATGAAAGTTTTGTTGTTACACATCATTATTATTAGTAGAAGTTACTGAACTGGATAAATGCTTTGTTGTTGTTGCATGTCATTAGTAGAAGCTACTCTTTGAACTGGACGAGGCTGTTGTACATTATTAGTAGAAGCTATTTTATGATATTCTCGTTTTCTTGTTTTTATTTTTTTTATTTCTTATTTTTTTTTTAAAAATCGTTTCCTGTTCCTTCTGATCAGCCAATAAAATTTAATTTTGACTGTGTAACAAGGAACAGGAAACAGGAACATTATTAATTTGCAAAATAATTTTTTTTTTACATAATATTTTATTAAGTTACATTATTTTATTATATATATGAATGGAAAAAAATAAATACTATATATAAAATTAATATTAATTCATAATAGATTCAAGATCACACAATACACTGTTGGGAATTTTTCTATGGGAACTATATTTTTTTACAGCATATTCTGCAGCATTAAGAGTCAACCCTTTTCTATATGCATCCAAGCATAGTGGACACTGTTGCAGATCACAAAAAAATGATCAACATAACATATGTTATGGTGAAAGTTCTTGCAAAAGTTTGATTATAAAAGTGTGAGATAATTTTGATCTTGCTGATGATCTGGACTTAGAGAGGCTACAGCTATATTCTAGTGAAGTTTCAGAAGCAACGGGCTCTGTGTAACCACCTGACTATTATACAAATGACTGTTGCACAAAATGAGTGTCCATTATGCTATGCATCCATATATCTGAAAGACCTACATGCATATCTTCTTATTGATGAAATTGGAACAGAGTCCAAGGCCAAAGGTACTGTTTCCAAGAGTCCACCCCAGGTGTAGTCACAATTTTCTCTTGTGTATCTCTTGGCTGCACCCCAATACATTTCAATGAAATTTAATTCGCAATGGAACTTGGGGTAGAAAATCACCATATGTCCCTTCCCTTCAATTGTTTCTTGAATAATTCCCTTTTGTGACTCAAAATCTGGTTGTAACTCCAGAATCTTCAGTCCACAACAATCTGTTTTTGTATTCTGCTCCCTTAACTTTTTAGTTTTACAGTCAGAACATACTTTTTTAATCCTTCCTTAAGTAATCCTCTTTCTTGCAAAATTGTTTTCATTCCCTTCTGTTCTCCACTAGGGTAAGTCATCTGTTGAATTGCACCATTGAAAACAGTATCTCTCATCTTTGGTTGTTTTCCACCATCATTCCAATTTAGATTGGATGCAACCAAAGCATCATCAGCAAAGGCTGCATGAGAAGTTGCATTGTCAAATGCAAATAGAGCAATGCAACCTGGATGAGTGGCTTCGAATATTGGTATTGCTTTATTAATTATTTGATTTTTTAATTTTTCTGTTGTCCACCACCCATCATGATTTAATCCTGATATAATACATTCACGGCTTTGTTTAGGTAAGTGTGGGAATTGATTTTGTTCTTCATCATTTAGATGTAAGGGACCTATTGTTTCACTTAAAAAATCACTAACATGATAAGCCCTCCCTCTCCCCTTCTTTCTTAAAGGTTGTTCACCTTCTAGAGTCCAACCTTGACTATTACTTTCATTTGAATAGAAAGTAGATTCATCATGTGCTATTATATGTCTTACTTTAGCTCCTCCTTCTAATACAGGGTCAATTCTTTCATCTAAATTATCTCCCTCAAACCTTGGAGCATAAGGTTCGTATTCCACTTCCATAAATTTTAAAAATTTTTCTCTATATTCAACAACATCAGCCATCATGATAGAATCCTTTTTTATAAGCACCAAACACCCATCCTAATTTTTTGAGCCATCTTGCTGCAGTTTTTTCGGATATTTTCTTGTTTTCATTTTCCACTCCAAAATTAGGCAATATTACATCATTGACATGTTTACATAATTTTTTAGGCATTATATCAAATTTATTGGACCTCAAGTGACTTCCAATCTGAGCAGCAACATCTTCATGATCCAAAAGGCTTTTTGTTTTTGGGTGTTTTCCTCTATTTGATTCAGGTAATTTTTTATTTTGGACCCATTGTTTAGCCCAAGTTCTAATGCATCTTCCTTTATAAACTTTTGCCCACCCTAGAGATATTGCAACTATTTCACTTGCTTCAATCTGTTTTTTGCCATTATCTAAATGTCTAAAATACATTTCAATTGCCATTAATTTGGACTTTACATCATTGGTTAACTTAGGTCTTCCAAGAGCTCGCTCAACAGAACTTATTGCACTTTTCCAGTCATTATTCATAAGGTTACTATCATCTTCAAGACCAAGATCAAAATAATAATCATCATCAAGATCATAATTTAATGATTCAACACCACTTTGCTCTGAATCTTCAGGTTGATCTTCACTGGAAGTT